GATCAAGATGATTGAAGTTTTTTTTAGCATCACTGTCATCTTAAAAGATTAGTACCTGCACAATCTAGATATGCTTGTGAACTAAATGTGTCTAGCTGGTTAAATCCAGTCCAAACTGTATTTAAAAACAATCCTGAAACTGAAACGACAAATGGCTAAAAACCTTTTAAGAAGTTGTAAGCCATTTATAGAGAACAAAAGAAGGTCTTCAAGCATTTTAAGTCCTGAATTATTCTTTCCCTTTAAGGATCTGAGCAAAATTAAGCTATTGTTGGAATTATGTAAATATGAATACTTTCTGCTAGGAAAAAATAAATGTCCAAATTATTCCTAATTTAAAATGAACAAATTTCAAGCCACGTATTTTGCCATGTACATATTTGGACACTAGTTGTCGTGTACAGTTAGATGTGAATGAAAATACAACAACCCTGTGATGTAACACATTAAAGGAAATGTTGTATCCCACATTGTTCCTGACACACACTTGTCTCTCTGGGGAGATCAGTTTCCTCACTACTGGAAGTAATCCCTTGCACTGAATTTAATGAATGGTATGCCCCAATTTTTTCTTTCTCTTTTTTGTTAATCTTTCAGAAACATGGACAGTAGGAGTCTAGAAGGAGTTTCTACAAAACCCAAAAGAACAGCATAGAAGAACATAATTTTTACTTTCCATGAACACCCATTAGCAACTGTCCGCTTGAAGTAATAGTAGAGGGAGGCACTGAACACAGACACAAAAGGCCAATCAATTTGCTATTATACTTTCAATGTCTGCTAAGCATACTCCCTCTAGACCTTAACTGAAGTAACCTTCCCTCAGGCAAAATTCAGGCCTAACAGATGGGCCTTATACCATGCCCTTGAGGGTCAACAAGCACTACTTCAGTCTGATCAACAGGAGCTCATTTCAGAGTTACAGTACCTCCGCCGAGAGTGCTTAGCTTCCAGTCCCCAGATGTTCAGTAGGTAAGCAGAAGACCCAGATGATTTCAGCTAACACCAAGGGAAACGACTGTGACAGATCCTATAATAAATAACCTTATCTTGTAAAGCATCAAATTAAAAACGAGCAGAGATTTCAGGGAACATATATTGCAGGGTTGCTAAAACCAATACCAAGTAGCCATCAAGCTGCACACTACGCTAATTAAAGTGAGGAATCTTCAGAAACAGTTTCTTCTGAAGTACATAGTGATAATCCAGTCATAAAGCATCAAATCCACAGAAGATAGCCTCCAACTAGATGAAAAGTATAATTAATATTCAAGAATCCAAATACTACAAACCTCAGTGGAAGTAAGTGAACGTTTTGGGGGAAAAAAAACCCCTCAACAAAACGACAAACAACCCACCAACTCTTCCTCCAAACAGACAGAAAACCCTACTAGTTTCTTTAGCTTTTAACAGTCAGTGAAATAGCCTACCATTTCTGCAGGAAGCTTCAGCTACATTGTTCCAATCCCTATGATGCTTACCGAAGAAAACTGAACAGGAGCTCTTCGATAAAACAAACTCAGAATAATGGAAACATTGTGAGTAACAGTTATTTCTTATAGCAACTTGAAAGGTTAAAACCTAGAATCCAGCAGAAAGCTTTTACATGGAAGACTAAATCATCACAACTAGGTACTCAGGGTGGTAAGGGTATGCTGCAATATGAAATAAGCTGTCATGCTACAGGTTCATCATTTGAGTTATTTTTAAATCTCTGCTTAGAGAAATTAACCCGATTGCATGCCTGTGAACCAGAGAAACCACACTTCACCTGCATGAGTGCACACTTCCCCCATTCTTTCATAGAACTCATTCTGTTAAGGTTTTTCATTGCTTTTCCACTTAAGACTAGGCTGTAAAACTGGGGAACCTTCGAGAGAACTATGTTAAACTCCTTCATAGTCTGTCCTTCTAGTTACCATACCTCTTCTTAGTTGGAAGTTCCCTTATGCCTGTTTGTGAGAATGATGCTAATTCTGTCATTTGATGTAGAAACTCAGACTGACTGTAAATAGCTTGGAAGTTTGAGGTCCTAAGTATTTATAAAGTACTGCACTTTGATACCTTTCAACTGTGAGAAAGTTAGGGTTACTTATTGATGTCCAATGGTCTGAGGCAGCTATTACAAGTATCTGCAGTGCTTTGCCATCCTTGGTTAAGCAACTTCCTGCTGGAGCCACTGATCTGTGTTACATTACTGTATGCAACAGAAGTGGTCAGGCTATGTATGTGCCACTTCATATTCATTCAAACCTAATTCTAAGTACTGATTTTGAGAAAACTGTATTTAGATAACTTAGGTGTGTGTGGATTTAATTATTCAATTTTTCTAGCATCCTGTTGGTAAACTTTGCTTTCATAGTACAGTTTTACCCGTTTTACTTTTGGGGATAATATTTTGCTTAGGCATCAGCTGAGGAAGGAGAGGATATCAGTCCCCTTGTTGCATCTATTGTGGGCTTGGTCGGGTGGAAAAAATTGGATTGCTTGCAATGTATTTTGCACTTAAAGCTTCTGACACTTTCCTAGAGGGATCCTAAACTACTGTTAACAGTAGCTGCAGTTAGTGGCTGTTAACACTGTTGAGAATGGTAGGTTCAGCTGGGTGCTAGTTGCAATTTTTTTGGGTAACTTTTTGGTGAACATAAAATGAGCTTTTGGGGAAAGGCAGCAATATGGAACAGATTCAAAACGTATTTGTAGCCTTCTGTTGGCCACCTATTCTTTATTTGCTAGTCACAGATTGTGAGCTTGTATGTCATGAAATAAATCAAGACTACTTGAGAGGATGGGGGGGATCATGGTGAGCTGTGTATATAGAAAAGGGAAGAAAATAAAAATAGTGGGCATGTGGAAAAATGCTGTGAAGCAGCAAAGAGCCCATATGACTCTCATGAGTAGAAGCCATGCCTTGTAAATTGTTAGATCTTTTTTGAAATTGGGAGAGGAAAAGCCCCAAACCAAAACCAGTCATAAACAGCATTTAGGAAATGTGTATTTGATTTATTAAAGCAAAAAAACTGTTGAATAAGTCTCTAAATCTTTCTTTTTAACTTGGAAAAGAAAGATATCCACATAGTGGCTGAAAAAGGGAAATCTAAACAAGGCAAATATCTGTGACAATTTCAAAATCTATCACAGAATAAGAAAAATGCTAGCACAGTAGTTATTAAATGAAGATACAGATAACATGAGAAATTGCTGGTAAAAGCTTCTAGAGCAAAAGAGCAAACATGCTGATGATCTCTTCAAATTTTGGATAACGATGTACTTATCAATCTCAAAATGTGTAATAAAATAGTAATAACGGGTATGGAAACAGTGATGGTCAAAAAACGTGGAACACCACCTATACCTTTAAAAGCAGAATGCTTTATCATAGAAATTATGTGTGAGGTGGGGGAGAAAATGGATATGATAGAAGTTAGAAAATTATAATTATTACAAAGAGCTGAATAGGAAATTACTTTCTTTTTTTAAAGTAATATAATTAAATTTTTTTTTCCTTGTACTTTGGTCAGAAGAGTATGTAAAAATACGTATGTAAAAATCACTGCTACATACTGGGCTGCATTAGCAAAAGTGTATCTGTATAATCAGTAGAAGTGATTCACCACCTCTGCTTGGCACCGTAATGGCACTATGTCTGGATTACTATGTCCAGTTTGGGATTCATCCCAGATAATCTCGTACTGGAGAGGATTCGGTGGAGGGTCTCCAAGATGGTTAGAAGGCTGAAGCAAATGCTGTGCATGGAGAGACTGAGAAGATTGTGTTTCTTCAGTTTTAGGATAGGAAGGGCAGGGTTATTGCTGTTTTCAGTGGCCTTATAGGGAGGTTTAGCAAAGGAGGAACGAGAGTCATTTCAGCCCTACAGCTGCCAAGGACAAGAGGCAACAGACAGAAGTTGCAACACTGGAAATTCTGATAAGATGGTGGGAAATTTTCTCTCTCCCCCACAATGAGGTTAATCAGACACTGGGAAAATTGTCCAGAAAGTTAGCAGAAATTTCAGCCTTTGAAGACATCTGTTAACAACTCAGCTGGACAAGACCACAAGCAGTCTGATCTCACTTGCTCCTGTTTTAGCAGGAGATTTGACCACCTTGCCTTCAGGGGGCTTTTCAGACATAAGTTATTCTGTAATGCTGAGGCTTTGTGGAAGCAAACAACATAAAGGTCCTAAAAGGCAGTGAACAGGTTCACAAGGTAAAAAAGGATATATCAGTAGTTATTTAATGTTTATCTAGTAAGAATCAATCTTCCTTCCTATTTTTGGCTTATATATGGGACGGGCACACTCTGCAATTTCTTTCTGGTCGCTTGACATTTGACTCTGTCTGCCAAGGTAGAGAGCAGAACGGCTGATGAGAATGACCCCTGGTGGCCACGTATTCCCGCTGCTGCTTCTGGCTGCTCTAGAAAAGTTTTTTTTTAGAACAGAACAAAAAGCACTAGCTTAGACCATGAATGTGATGGACACCATGCTGGGGCAAGTGTGGGAATGCCTTAAACCTTCTGTAGAACTTCAGCACTCTATTCTTTTCAGGGATTTGTTGTTAGCGGTGTGTGCTGGGCTAGATACATGTCTGGTCTGACGCAGCATGCCGTCCACCCTCCTCAACCCTCCATCACCCTTCCACCCCACCCTGGGAAATAAAAACAATGAATAGCTGTTTAATGTAGCTCAAAAATGACTTTGTTAATCACATGAGAGTTAATTTTCTGACAAGGCAGTGAGCTGGAGAATTTTCCATCCCTCCCTTCTGTTGCCAGTGTCCAGGAGAAGTTATACTGTCAAGTAATAGTAGCTATTTCCTGACTTTACATTTGTTCTAGTTAAACTAATGAACCACAATGCATAGTAAGTTTGTGTAAGATTTTCTTTTCAACCTGCCTAAATATATCTGAAACCATACCATAAAGAGTTATGATTTTTTATTTGTTCTGTTAACTTCAAACAAAGATGAATTTTTGTGTGTTTGTTTGTCTTGCAGTATAAGCAGCACTATTATGGATGTAGACAGCACAATTTCCAGTGGGCGTTCAACTCCGGTTATGATGAATGGACAAGGAGTTCCTGCCTCCTCTGCAAAAAGCATTGCTTATAACTGTTGTTGGGACCACTGCCATGCTTGCTTCAGCTCCAGCCCAGATTTGGCAGATCACATTCGCTCCATACATGTGGATGGTCAGCGAGGAGGGGTTGGTGTTACTTTTTTTTCTTCCTCTTTCTTAGTTGCCAATATTTTGTTCTTTAATGACACTAGCAAGTTGTGTATTTTAAAGTGTCAGTTCCGTAGCTAATGGCAACGAAAGTTGGGTCTTCAGCATTCTGATATTAGGCATTTAGCTGTTGTCTTTTGCATAGTTCACTAGATTTAGTATTACGTGCTTTTAATTGAAGGTCTAACTTTAAGAATGTGGTAAGTTCTCAGTAAATGATTTAAGGCTATCAAGTTTTTGATGTGCTAACTTCTCAGCATTCTGAAGTTGTTGGTATGTCTTTGAGTGCTTGTACTTGAAATTCAATTTCTTAAAACTCTTAACGCATGTGTTACTGTATGTGAGCTCAGGTGAAGGCATATCTTGATTATTTTTATGGATGGAGTCTCATTAGAGGTAAAATATATACAGAATGTATAATAGGGCAGATGAAGACTCATTGACAGAGTCTTACCAAAACAGCTCTATAGTGCTCGGACTGTAGCACGAGTATTGCATCTCACTGTTGGGTTTTTTGTTTTTTGTTTTTTTTTTTTAATTGAGGTGCATCTATAATCATGTATATTTCAGTGCAGTCACTGGTCGAATGATGCAATTTCCATTGGTCTCATTATTTTAATGTTTCAAAACATCTTCCAGTAGAGTAATTTTAACTCTGTAATTAACTACCTGTCCCTCCCAATTGCCTTCGATGTCCGGAATATGTTGTGTAAAATACCTTTACATTAAACACAAGCAATCTGCCTGCTTTCGTTGCTTTATATAGCAGCTCTTTAATTTCTTGAAGAGCTATTACGACTTATTAACCTAGAAGAGCTGTTATCTTTGACTTTCTGTCCTGTCACTTCTCCAGAAGTAAAATATTAAGGCATTATACTTTAGCTTGAGTGAATATGAGACTTAAATAAAATGCTAATTTGCATTAATTTAAATACTTTGCTATGTAATTGTGTCCCTGAGACAGCTGTGACTCTGGTTGGATTTAGCTAGTGGTTTTTGAATGATTGAACTTTCATATTTGCTGACTTTTTTCAGTCCAAGCTCTAAGCAGACTCATCTGTCCAGTGAGCTGATTTTTTCTTTAGCCATCCATTACATGATTTCTGTAGTTCTGTACATAGATTCTGTTCGTTAAAGTGTTAACATGAATCCTGGATGAAACAATGAAATGGAGGAGGTGTATTGGCATCCTCTGGGCTTCCACATAACTACATTTCTGGAGATCTTTTTTAGCCCATCTGTGACCCCATTTCATTTCTTAAAAGGGGGCTGGAAGATTTCAGGGTGGTTTGTGGTGTTCTCGGGTTTTTGTTTCTTTTTGCTATGTGACGTGATTTATGGTTACTTTTATTTAGGAAATGTTAGACTGTATTTGTCTTTCTGAAAGAGGAGGTTGTTGGAAGCATCAATTGGCTAATAACTGTTGAATTCAGTTCACACTTTTTATCTCCGTTATTTGAGTTGGTTTACTTTTTGACTAGTTCTTCAACTTCGTGCTGTGGAAAGGGACTGATCCTGGCTGTTTTGTTTCAAGGATTTGTCTGCCATCTGCTGGTGAGGTGTTTAAGTGGTGTTAGAAATTATATTCTTGTGGTTTTGATTGGATTTCAGATATCACTTAACCACAGTGACTATACATTTGAATAGAAGTGCGGGTAGTAGCTACTTACTGAGAACTTAAAAGCAATGTGATAAGCGTCCTTCAATAGTAAAATGTATATCTTCAAGCTAATGCTGAAGTATGGCTCCAAACCAAGCCAGATAAATCCTTGAAGAGCCCAGGAAAATTTCAGACAAAATAGTTTTACTTCCAAGAGTTTTTTTTCCTGAAATATTTCGGGTTCAGCCTTTTGTCAAGGGTTCCCAAGAACTGGGGGACTGGACTTCTGGTGGGTTGTTGTAAAACCAGGTGCTTCATCGTAATACTCCTTTGCTGTGTGCCCTGCAGGCTGCAGTTGCTGATAGAAATACTGGAACAGTTATGGAGCTGTTGCAGAGCTAGGAATCTTGGGAATTCCAATTCTGTGGCCTCCAGGGGGATCTCGAAACTGGTATAGGGGGTTGGTCCTTATGTATCAGTCATACAGATATGCATGTTTTTCCAGCTTTACATTAGAAAGCTGGGTTATCTATATATTATACAGCAAGTATGTAGCAGTTCTGTGGCTGCTTTTTTGTTTTGAAAATAAAGTCTTTTGAAGATAGATTTTTTTCTTTTTTTTTTTTTTTCTTACCTGCAGAAGAGAACGAGAAACTTGAGTTCAGTTAGTTCCCTGCAGGTCAGGAAAAGTGTGTTGTGGACAGTGCTATTCCTGGGGCCTGTCTTTTGCTCCTACTGGTTAGGGTTATACTTCCCTTCACACACAGATCTGTTGAGGACATTCTAATGAAAGGGAAGTTCATGGAGCTTTTTTGTTCTCTCGGTTATAGATAGACACAATGGGAGGAGAGAGAAAAGCAGCATGAGTAAGTTCTTACTTCCCTTAATGCACTATTGTACATATGACTGATCTGTACACTAGAACCTCAGAACTCCTATAGATTTTGAATCCTATTATAAGTTGTATCTTTCTTCATCAGGAATTGAATGTAAGGCCCTAACTAGAGGTATCCAGTATTCCATAATATAAAACTCTGGTATCTAAACAACTGTATTCTAATGAAGAGTTTTTACTTTTTCATGCTCAAATAATAAAATTGTTATTTGCTTATGGCAATAAATGATTTTATTTCTATATCTGCTACCCAGAAAATGTAAATTTGTAATTTAAAAATGTTCTGTACAGATACTGAGTGCAAACAAACTCTTTACAGGGGATGCAGTGGCTTTCAATTATGTTTATCTGCAGGAGTATCTGGTTTTTGATGCTTTATTCCAGTGACCTGCTTTTTTGACTATTTGTGCTTGTCATTATTTTTTCTTTGGTGAGATACGAGGTTCTATGATATTGGAAGTGTGTTGCAAAATAAATGGTTATTGTTCAAAGTTCTTTGAAGTACTTTGTATTGTGAAAACAGGCTTCTTTCCTAATCTGATGGATTTTGGTTTTGTTTTTTTTTTTTACTGTTTCCTTTGACTTGTGTAAACTTACCACATTTTTACTCTATTAGGTGTTTGTTTGCTTGTGGAAAGGTTGCAAAGTATATAATACACCTTCAACAAGTCAAAGTTGGTTGCAGAGGCATATGTTGACACACAGTGGGGACAAACCTTTCAAGGTAAGGTTTACTGTAAGATACATCATCCCTCTTTTTATGAGTGATGATATTTATTTTTACTGATAAAAAATATTAATTGAAAAATGCTGTTACAGGAGGATTTCTGAAAAAGTATCCAGTGAGCTGAGCCTTCGTTTTTGCAATAATAGTGCCCAAAGGTGCTGTTCTGTTATGAAAACGGGTGAAGATACTGTTATTGCTTCTCTATCCCTTTTTCTTTTAATCTATAAATGGTAGGGGAATGTACAAGTAAGTAATGCTGAAACGGAATTTTTTGTGCATTTTCCAGTTGAGCTGCTTACACTGTTAACAGCGAGACATTTTGCCTCATGCTTTACACTTCCACATTAAACTTTGGATCATGCCTGATTGTGCACATTCTGTGCCGAAGTAAGAGCTGGTTCTATTAACAAAACTCAGATGAAACACAGTCAGTGATTATGGTTAACCTCTCTGAGAGTAATAAGGAAGTCAGGAATGCAGGACCGTTGAGCTGACTGTATTTCCTGCATAGTATTTTCTAACTTTCTCTTTCTTTCTTCCCCTAATCTGTACCTGCAATTCTAGGTATAGTAGTGTTTATCATTCCCATATCCACCAATCCGTTATTAATGAGTTGCTTCATCCTCTTATGGATACAGTTGGGGCAGTTCATAGCTGTAAGTCCTGGATCACTTGATGGTAAGTCCCACCCACACTACTTCAGACTGAAGTTCTCCTTCCATGTAGGATATGAAAATGAAATAGGCTTTTTTTTTTTTTTTTTCTTTCTTAAAGTTTAGGTATCATTTTATACCTTCCTCTCCCCAATCCCACCAAGTTTTAGTCACTTTCTCCACTTCACTCTCTCTTCTTTCTTCTCAGGTACTATCTTCTGGGGTTTTTTTTTGTTTTCTTTGATGGGTTTTGGTTTGGGTTGGTTGTTTTTTTCTTTAGTATTAAGGTAGCTTTATTACTAAAAAATACTTTTCTGTTACAGTGATGTCTTCCAGAAGTTACTACTTCTGCGTAGTTTATAACAGTAGATATTACAGAAATCAAAACTACTAAAAGTATAGAGAGCAAAAATAGTCCATTAGATGTGAAAAGAGGTGGGTTTTTTCAATAAAGGTTAGACTTTTTTCCCATATTGAACTGTGTAGTTTAGTCAGAAAATTTCTGACGGAGAGTGAATAACAACAGGAAACTTGCTCTTGAGGTTATCATACCTTTTGTTCAAAGGAATAAGGGTAGCATGCTCTTGGAAGCATAAGGATCATGAATCTCTGGAATTTTGCAGATATGATTGTTCCAGCAACTGATGTAGTCTTAAGTGCTAATCCCTGAGTAAAAAAAAAAAAAAAAGTCATCAGAGTAAACTCGTACCTTAGATCTTCTCATTTTGGAACGAAATATTTTACATACATTAAAATATAATGCCAAGCTTTGGTCTTGAAGGAAGACCTTGCAGTAGGGCAGTTTGTATACTTACTTGGTCTGGATCAAAGAAACTCAATTTTAGAGACATTGGGATTAAAAGAGGTGGGTATAGCTCAGAAATACAAGTAGTACGTCCAAGTCGGTCAGTTACCTACATAAGTCAGTAAAAGTTGTCATCCCAGTTGGCTGGTCTGGTTACAGCTAGAGCCCTAAAATTTACAACAATTAGGTCTGTGTTAAATATGTGTTATTTCACCAGCTGATCTTCTGTATTTTCTGGTCATACTACGGGAAAGAGCAAAACACAGGGCAGAATTGCAGTAGTTAATCATCATGTGTGTCATTTCAGCATTTTTTCCTACTGTTGTCTTTAATCCCTCTGTTTGTTTTTTGTTTCTGTATTTCTCAATCTGTTCCTGGGGGCTTTGAATGGAGGATAATTGTGGTCTGAGTAGAATTTTGTAACATCTTTTGTTCCCCTGTCATTTATACTGAGTATAGGCTTCAGGGCTCACATGAGGTAGCCAAGTACGTAAGTGTCTGTGGTAGCAACCTATTAATTAACCAGACTCCTTTCCTTGCTTGCTTCTTTTCTTTTACAAGCTTTTGAAGTCTGCAGTCTGATACAAAAACTCTTAAAGGGTTGGATATTAGCCTTGATTGGTGTAAGAACAGCCATTACTAATTGTTTTACAGCAGTCATTCGGAAACAGAGCAAGTGTTTTTGTTTGGTGCGTTTAGCTGTTCTTATAAATTTTAATTGCTCACTTTTTAGGAAAAGCCAGATTATTTTCAAGTCAGAGTTGGATTAAAGACCTCTTGTTCCTGATGATGACTGCAGACAAAGTATCTCCCAAAACCTGAATTTCAGATGAAATTTCTGTTGCCTCATGAGAATATACTTGAGTTCTAGTATAAAAAAAAAAGCCATCCATTGTTTTAGAGAACTTAGAATAGTTGAAGGATGTGTCCCTGCTCTCTCCTGTCATCCTTTTGCTTGCAAGTGAACTCACTTTATGTAGTTGCCCATGTTGGGTTTAATTACCTATTTTTGTGATACACATGATGGTGTTCTTTGACTAAAAGTTGCATCCAGCTGTAAATGAGCTGCTGTGCTTTCATCTTAAAAGGTCTTTGTGGGTTCACCTGTCCTTTCCATGCATACACATAAACTGTGTGACTGTGTAGTTCATTTGTCACAGAAATAAACCCACTTCTAAATTACGAAAGCAAATGTTTCATATGTTCATAAGTTTTTCCTTTTTTTTTTCCTGTTTGTGTGATTTAGTATGTCCCCCTCAGCATTAATATTGCAATACCTCTGTCACAGAAAAGCTAAATTTCCTTGTGAATACCTTTGTTATGCTAACTTCATTTTTATATGGGATTATTTCTTGGGAGCATATGTCCAGCTCATAAGGAGGAGACATTTTATATCTGAGTCATCTGCTGAACTAAGGTGGGGGGGAAAACCCCAAGCCCTACATTTTTGGGCAGAATTTAGAATCTCAGTCCCCTTTAGTCATGTTAATTTTCTATTTATTCTCTCCCTTTTTTTCCCCTAAGTGTGTAATGCTGGTGGCCTTGGGTTTCATGTGGAACAACATAAATGGATATTCTGCCAGGTTTTTTTGAGGCCATCGTCACTAAGTTTTGTTACTGATGAAGTGTCTTTTCCCGGGGCACCTACCACTCCCTCCGCCAAAGAAAAAGTGTCCAGTAAATGAGGCACAGTTACCATTACAGCTAGCTCTCAGTCTGTAGTTGAATACAATTTCGGCAAAGCACATGCTTTTCCAATTCTATTTTTGTGTAAGCACAGTTTCCTAGATTTGTTTTTCTTGTCAAGAGGAACAAACAAATAAACTTGTCTTAAAGAACAGGTTTCTGTTGAGAACATACTGGCTTTCTTTGGCCCACTGTTAAGTATTTTTGAAGCTCCTCTTAATACCTGAAGTTCATTGCTCTTGTGCTGCTGGAAGTTTTTGCTTATTGCAGTATGATTCTAGTCATCCTTATATTTTTATTTTTTTTTCCTTTTTTGGCCATTGTAGACATTCATTTAATATAGGTATTATCAGAGCATATAATTGTTTCTTTGAAGACATTTAGTATGTTTGTACTTGTGTATGATTCTGCATTCAGAGCTGAGTGAGAAAAACCTGAACATAAATTTTTTTTAGTACTCTTATTACTTTGTAGAAGCTTTGTAGAAGCTGGTGGAATGTTATGGAGTATCATCAACATGTAGTGGTGGTCCTGTTGAGGATTCAGCAACTTAAAAACTTTCAGGTTTTCAGAACATGTAGGCAGGTGGATCTGGAGGAATCATCTGCTGAGTTAGAAAACTGATGCAATAGCTGTCTTTGGCAAGCTAAGAAAAAGTGAATGAAGAAATTCTGCCTTGTCCTAAACTTGGCCATTACAGATAATAAATAAATTAGAATAGCTAATGTGCTGTGACAACCTGCATTTTGCAGCATGGTTTCTGGGACTCAAAAAAAATTGAAGTACTACTCACCATGCCTTGTTGCTGTACAAGGCATTGAAAATTACTTGAAGACGTATCAAACTCTTAAAATGTAGTCTAGGTGACTGAATGCAAGATGTTAGTTACAATGAAAGGGAGACCTTATAGCAGCCTTCCAGTACCCAAAAGAGACCTACAAGAAAGCTGGAGAGTGACTTTTTACAAGGGCATGTCGTGAAGGGACAAAGGGGAATGGGTTTAAATTGACAGAGGGGAGATTTAGGTTAGATACAAGGAAGAAATTCTTTACTATGAGGGTGGTGAGACACTGGCACAGGTGCCTAGAGAAGTTTTGGCTGCCCCATCCCTGGCAGTGTTCAAGGCCAGGTTGGACGGGGCTTTGAGCAACCTGATCTAGTGTGAGGTGTCTTTGCCCATGGCAGGGGCTTGGAACTAGATGGTCCCTTCCAACCCAAAACATTCTGTGATTCTATGGAATCGTAGAGCGAGCACAAAACAGTGGGAGACTTTATGCAAGATAATTGCATATGGCAGTCTTCTGTAAATATGACTGTGTGTGCATATGCTACCAGGTGCTCTCACATACTAATTTCAGCAGGTATGCTCTTAAAGATCAGTCATACAAGATTTGCTTATGTAGGGTAAATGCTTTCAGTGACAACGAATGACAGTACAGTGTTCACTGAAGGTTTTCATCCTTTGTTTAAAAGGGGGGAGGGAGGGAGAAATTAATAATAAAAATGAAATTTGGTGCTCGTTCGAGCACCTGTAACTTCGGAAGTCATTAAGGGGTGACTGCATTTGATATGACTCTCAGTAGAGTTGCACTTGCTGAAATGTAGAAAACACAGCCAGGCAGCTTCAGTCCTCATTTGGAATTCATATTTGTCACTCTTTTGGCAGAATATCTTCTAACTATTAGAGCATTGCAGATGCAGATAGAAAATGTAAGGGCATTCTGCCTAAGCACTTAGATATTGAGACAATAAGAAAGTTTATCCAGATGTCTAAATTACTACTGTTAGACTTATTGGAAAAATTACACATTGAATATTCTAAAAAGGAGATTTGGTTATTTGGAATTCAGAAAAAAACCCCTTTACTGCTAGATATTTTATTATCCTGTTTGTTAAAGTCACTGGTCATTACTGCCCATTAATAATGGTGGGTATGGGTACACTGGAGAAATTAAACTTTTTATGTGTTGACTTATTTTCTCTTGAAGTAACATATCCACCAATCCGGACCCAATCTATCATATTTAAAATTCAATGCAAAATTTATAGATTTAGGTTTTGGGGGAAAAATGAAAAGATTGGTTTGAAGTTGTGCATAATAGTTGAGTTTGATTTACTGGAAGCCCTCTAGATCTGTATAATTATCTGGTGGGAAGCTGATTTGGTGTGACTTACCGTCCAGAGATCCTGAAGTGACAGCCTGAACTGCTCCTTTATGTTTGGAGAGAAGAGACTTTACCCATTAGTAACGGATTGCTGGATATATTATTTTAGAGAAAAAAAGGAAAAAAACAGGTAAGATTTTTCTCCTCTCTTACTATTTCCTGTCTACTACAAAGGCATTATGTGTCATCTTTGATATATCAGCGGTTCATTATTTGATGACATGATCAGGTAGTCTGTCTCAAACTACACAATATCTGAATGTAGTAATCTCTGCGAGTATTTCATACTCTGGCTGCAGACTATAAATAGGCTTTCTGGAAGAAGATAATTTCTAGTTGCAAGTTGCATATATTGAAGATTTAAGGATGCTGGTTTGGGAATTTTGAAAGTAAAACTTGGGTAAAGCAAGAAAAGTAAGTAGTAGCTTCTGTAGAGAATCTGTATAGAATATCTGTGATTTTTTTTTCTTTGTAGATGACTAGACAAAAGTCAAATTTTGACAAACTGCAGTTTGAATCACAAAGTTTGCCATCTTACAAGAAATGCAATTAAGTCTTATGAACTTGTGTTTTAAAAAGTTTTAGAAATGTGCCTGACACAAAGTTTATGTGTTATTTCCAGAAGGTATTGCCTTTTGATATTATACTTTAATAAACTTGGAATATGGTAATGCATGACTGTACCAAGACTAGGCTAATTTTGACCTCTGGCAGGCATTGGCAAGGCTGAAATTCTAATTTCTCAGTGTGATTGAACTTCAGGGTTTGGGGTTTTTGTTTGTTTGTTTGTTTGTTCTGGGGGTTGGGGTTTTTTTGGTCTTTTTTTTTTTCTGTCAGTGTTTGTAGGGTCAGAAAGAGATAAAAGCAGAAGTCAGAAGTGCCTTAATGAAAGTTAAACCTAATTTTAGATTTAGTTGCTTAGTTTCATTAAACTGCTTTTATGGGCAAGACAGCTATTTCAAGAACTTAAAAATTGGAGAATAAAAATTGTTTGAACTAATACATGCATGTATCTTACCTGTATCTGTTGACTGTGAGCTTGATTATCTTTAATAGAACTAAATGGGTTGGGTTTGAGGTCAGGTTAGCTGTGGCTCTGAACAACATAATCTAGTAGATGATATCCCTGCCTGTGGTAGGGGGGTTGGAACTGGATGTTTTAAAGGTCCCTTCTAACCCAAATTATTCTATAAGTGTAAATTTTAATCTTCAGTATTCATTTGAAGTAACAAATATTGCATTAAGTGTAGTTGAGATCAGGATCTTGAGTTTTATAGGTGTGCTGGGATTTCTTACATTTTAAGTCACTACAATATAAGCATTACAATATTGCTGTTATTTGTACATGGGAAATTATAGGGCGAGCTAAAAAGGCATAGGTAGGTTTTTGGTAAAAAAATCTTCATAATTCTTGAGTACTTATTAGTGGGGGAGATGGGGATGAACAAATGCAGTGTGAAGGATCCTAAAGCTTTTTTGTCAGGAAATTATACGTTTGTAGTTAGTTCAGTACTTACAGAAATTTAGGGAAGTTTTCTAAGGTTGGGGTTTATTTGTTTTTTTCCCCTTTAAAAAAAAAAAAAAAGGCAAGTAAGAAATGTGAAAAATATCCTCCTATTTTTTTGTCTTTTACTGTCTTGAGATTATATATATACATATTTATAGTCCCTTAGCAAGTATTAAGTCCTCAGAAATAACACAGGTTTTTCTCTTCATGAACACTTTATTGTTTTATGATCATCCTGGAAAAGCATTTGCTAAGTCTGAGGCAGAAATAGACTTTTCAGTTCGCAGCCACAGTTGGGAAACTGATATCAGAGTTGGATTTTAGGGGCAAAGCATACTGAATGGTGTTCCACTGTTGCTTACTTGTCTTTCAGTCAAATGTGCAGGCTTGGGGCAGATTACTGTACAGGCTTGCAAATTCATCTTTAGTCTTCAGAGAAAACTTAGCACTGTGTACATAGTTGCAGCATTACTTATTCCTTTTGGAGGCTGCTTCATGAATTTGCTGTGAAGAGAAGTGCTAGAGGAAAGAGGTGCAGATGGGAGCTGAGAAAGAGAGGAAGGAGGGGAGAAGCAGAACAGACGTGGAAGAAGGACAACTTTCCAATGGTTTCATGTGGTGATGGGTTTTCTGCTACGGGCCTATGAACTCATTTGTCCTACTGCAATTCTCTGGATGAGAAGGAAAATCAATCATGTGGATACACAACTCATTGCAGCCAATCATGGAATGCATATCTAAAAATAGCTTTTCTACTACCCTTGTAAGCTCAGAGTGCAAGAGAAAAGGTTTGTGCCTCTCTCCCCAGCAGTGTAATTTAAATACTCATCTTGCAAATGAAGTATTTGTAAATATAAACCAAATATTTAGAAAAATACCAATAATTATTACGGCCAGTACTAGCTTAGTCGCATATATCTTGCAATTTCTGTGTTTCTGCTTAATTATTGTTGAATCTTATCTTATTTTTCTGTTTGGGAAGGAGAGGCCATTTTCTTTAAATAAAAACCTTCTTAAATACTCCTGAAGTAATAGTAGCATCCCAAAATAAATATATAAATAATGGTTAATACAACTTTCAAGTTACTGAAGTTAAAGTCTTAGAACTGCAAAATAGCTTTTTACTGTCTTTGTATAGTGTTTACAAAAAGCATTAAGCTGTTTCAAATTTAATGTGGGTATGGATGTGTTTTGTTTACTTCTGCCTTGTCACAAAAAAGGAGGATGCTAGAGAAATGTTACTGTTACCAAATGCAGAAGATTGGAGAGCTGTTGAGAAATACAGAAAAGCAGTGCAGGATTTTGGAAGACAAGGGAACGTTTACCCCTGAAGGCAAAAGTTCTTCAGAAGCATGTATTTTCTGTGTATTGCTTGAGATTTGCTTTTATGCTATACAATATTATAGAATATAGTATAGCACAGAAAATATTATGCTGTAGAATAACTATTGAAAGTTACAAAGGTCAGATAGAAATTTATTTCAGATTCTATTTCTGTTTTTTCTTTTTAAGAATTGCATGGTCGTTAAGAATTTATCTTCCTTTTGGTGCTGGAGGTTGAGCCAGAAAAGTCAAACTGAAAGATCTATCAAACACCTGTGAATGAGTGCTACCTTGATGCAGTTGTTCCGTTTTGTTTCATTTTTCTCAGTGTGTAGTTGGTGGGTGCAATGCCAGCTTTGCATCTCAGGGAGGACTTGCCCGTCATGTGCCCACACACTTCAGCCAGCAGAACTCTTCAAAGGTTGCCAGCCAGCCAAAGGCCAAAGAGGAATCTCCATCTAAAGCTGGAATGAATAAAAGAAGAAAGTTAAAAAACAAGAGACGACGGTCATTACGTAAGTATTTCCAGAAGTAGAAGTTGAAAGTTTTGTCTTAGATAGGACGTTCCTCGACAATGTGGTTCTGTACAGATGTGGATCTGGTAGGGTTGGCAGTATTTAGCATTATAGTGTAGGCATACCTTGTGATGGGAGGAAAACAATCCCAGATTCTGTTTGTGTCCCTTTTTCGGGTAAAGCATCTGTGTGTTCACTTTTCTGTGAGCAACAGTTTGCATTTACAATTCAAAGATGCTTTTCATTTTAGAGTTGCTTTTTGTTTGCTAACTGTTACTGTTGGAAAATGTTCTGTTTAGTGATGTTGAGTTCTGAAGTTCTGTACTGCAGACAGAGATTGCATATTCATATAAATTAGAGATAAATGCATATTATATAAGCTCTCTTTTGAGCAAAACATTTCATTAGCTTCGTGATAGTTTTGCGAGCATAACCAAGATCTAATTTGGATAGATTTGACTTCTTACGTTTTTTGAATCTTTCTCCACACAGTTGATGTTCCTTAGTTTTATATGAACCAATGTGCTGAGAAGTGTGATTTATCATTTAAAGTGAGACTCTTTTCCTCTAGCATACAGTAATCACCAAGTACCTTTCCTAGTCCATTCTGATACAGTTTGGTTCCTGAGTTGTTCTAGTGTCAGACTAATAGCCATGTGAAATTTATTTAGAGATTCTAATGTACAGAAATGTTAGAAAAGACTAGCCAATTGTTAATAAAATCTAACTTTGTTTTATAATTGCTTTGGATGCAACTCTCCAGTACTGAACTGATTTACTGATTTTAAACTGTTACTGTGGCAGTTGCATTTTGGAATAGAAGCATGTAAAAAGAGTTTAGATTTTTTTTCCCGTTGATATGTCAACAGTTGGAAAAAGCCCTTCCATTAATTTCTACCCGTGGTGTAAAAGCAACCTTACAGTATTGGAGAGCAGTGGAAGATACCTTTTTTTATGAACCACTGAACCTATTCTGTCTCATATTGTCCACAGAAACAGAGCTCTGTTCATAAGCAGGCAATCATTTCAGTAGTGTCTCTTGGCTGGCAGTAGGATTTTTAGTGATGGTATGCTGGAGAACTTGTATTTGTTTGATGGAACAGCAGTTTCAGTCTTACATTTCCAGGACTCTCCTGTGGCAGAACACTTTGCTGTATTGATCTTTCTCTTCCTGTGAAGAGATAGAGTTACCAATTACTCAAATAGTACTGCAGCAGTGGATGCACATACTAGTGGTCTTAGGTGATTGCTCTACATCACATGACTGTGATTATTCTTATCATAATACCACCTCACCTGTGTTTTTAAGCAACTGAAATTTATGAAGCAATGGTCATGTTTCTGCCTTGAACACAAAGAAGCCTGACCTGGAAAGACACAGTATCGCCTAGAATTCTGAAAAGTTTTTTTGCTGTGACTGTCTTCCACACTGTGTGACAACTACGCAGTTCAGTGCTACAAGAGTCGCTGTTAACTTTAGTTATGGTGATCTATTTTTTATTGTTTTCTGGAAATGCTTGGGTATTCTTAAAATATGTGCGAGCAAATTGTATCGTTAAACATCTTAAAAATGTAAACTTGAAGTGTAAACTCTAATTTTGACACTGATTCAGCATTCAAAGGCAGTAGAAAACTATTTCTGTTCTTTTCAGAAATTGACTTTCAGAAAGCTTTCTGTTCAGCAATCTATGTAAATGAGAAGGCTGAAGAAAAAAGGCTGATCAGTGGAGGGTTATGTGGTCACTTTGTAGTATATTTTTAGTTCATCTTAGTTGTAATGAAAGAGAGACTTACTTGAAATAGTCATAGTTTCCTGAAGGATTATCTGGATTTTTTGACTATGTTACTCAAAATACAGATGACTTAAAATTTTTTGTGTTCAGAGATTCTTGAGTTGCATCGTAGCTTGCTTCTCCATGCTGATCTTGTTAGGTGACCAATTTAATGTGTCTTTATTCAAATTTTTCCCCCTAGTATATACAGAAGAGGTTTTTTCAGGTTGGCATTTTGTTAGTACTTGATGAACATTATTAATTTACAAGCTTCAAGTCAGAGCTTCATAGTTAAAACTTCCAATTACCTGCAAAGATGTTCTAGTCGTAATAAGAATATATTGCAGAATTCTTGAATGAATCTATGGTAAAAAGTGTATGTAGTAAATATTATGGGAATGTTAAAGTCGAGACTAGTACTCGAATGGCCTGCTGTCTTGATCAAGTGTTGCTCAGCAAGAAAAATGACAGCTGCTTGAACAATTTTTTTAATCTTCTTGCCTCTTGAGACAAATGCAGTGCTGGCTATAGAGTTTTTTTGCCTTAAGGCAAAAATAATCTCTGAGTTGGGAACTGACTACTGTAATACATTTCTCCAGAGGGTATGTGACCCAGAAATGTATCCGAAGTTGATGGCATTTTCTGAAAATGCTAAGTATTGATAGATTTTCTTTTAAAATTTTGTGTCAATTACTGTTGGTTAGGTGACCTTGGCAAATTTGCTTGTCTTTCTGTTTCTTAGCTTACTTTCATTTTTAGTTAAAGAATGAAGTCTGCTAATTTGTATATTTTGTCTTTTCAAGAAGAATGAGGGAGGGAAAAGACCCTTATCTAAGAAGCCAAAGTAGTAAAGTAACAGCATGAAGTATTTTCAGTCTAGAGTATATAAAGCTGGGAACATAGTTTTATATTTAGGTGTTTTAAGAGTTCAGATGGAGAGGTGTTGAAAGTATGTACCAGGTTCTTTGCAAATTGAGCTAAACCAAGTTATGACACACGGGTATAAAGCAGGACGCTATTTGATAGTGTACAGTCTAAGTTGCTCACAAATAAGGATTTGAGGAAAAATTAGTTTTGGAGCACAAAAAATTTTCTGCCTGAAGAAATGTTGTCAACATGTTCTTTCTTCCTCCTCACGGTTTCAAGAGACCCTATCTTTTCCTGCAAGGTGTGTCTCACTGAATATTTATTGTCAGTTGATTGCTTATACATTCTGCTATTGAAACATCCTTTAGTATAAATGCTCAATAGTTTAAATACAGCAAATCAATAAATTTGCTTCCTCTGTGTTTTATATCTGAAGGTTTACACCTTCTGAGAAACACTAATGCATGAATAAAGAAAGGAGACTTTGGCTTTATGTGAGAACATAATCTCCTAAGACTTTAGAGAGAATTCTTACTGTTGATATTTTTTTCTTTCTTTTCTAACATCTTGCTGTTCTTAAACTGTTTTATACTTACTTTTTCCTGTCTGTAAATAGTGTGTGTTCTTTTAAGTTTGGAAGTTAGTACTTTTATGATGAAAGCATGTTTTAACGTAGACACTTTTATAGCTGTTAACATTAGTGGTGCTATAGAGACCATCTATTTGTCATGAATTTTGCTGTTGCAGAGCAATTCAGGATTACAGTCAATAGCTTGCTTTCTTTTCTGGATAACCTCATACCATTCACTGCTTCATGTAGTCTGTCATTTGGAGGTATAGTCCAACTGTGTATGTCAGATAGGTCACAGTATTGTTACTCTGAAGCTACCTCAAAGAATATTTCAGAACCTAAGATTACATTTACGGTATTATCGCTTGCTTTTCCAATAGAAAAGATGACCCTATAGTAATTAACAAGCATAATAATTGAATTCATTGGAGAAATTTGAGATAAGGAAACTTACTGTTCATAGAATTTACAGTAAGATTACGTTTCTTACGTAAGGCTTGGAATTTCATTTAGTAGGATACTGGTGTGAAGATTCTAGTTTATTTGTGTACTTGGAACTTGTGTTAAGCAGGAAGGGAGATACCTTACTCTGAAAATAATTTTGAGGGAATAGATTTAAGACATAGAGAAGATCCATCATTAACAATAAGGCATAAATAGAACTATTCATATGCCTTTGATAAATTGTACTCCTTTTTCTGCATCTATTGAATGTTATCCAGTGGTAAATCCTGAAGAAATTTGCTGTATGAAATCAAAAGCAAAAATGTAGGGCTTCTTTTGCTTTCTACCCTCCCTTTCCTTCCTCACTCATATTTATAAAATATTTACATGCTTGCATCACTGACCACCTGCAACATGAGCGAGCTTACCACTTACAGCGAGAAAGCATTTCAGTGAGATGATTGCTTAATTGGCAGTATCCAACTGAGAAAGAGTAAGGACAGAATGTACAGATGAATGCTTAACAACAAGTAGTCCCAGGAGTGGAGCAAATACTAGCTGTAAGTGGAATTTGTAGCTTGTTTTGAAATAATGCATAGATAATCTTGGTGAAAAGGACTATAGAGGTTGTTTTCAGTGAAGACAACAGAACTTTGAATGACTGCTTTTGCAGATTACTGAAAGGTACGTAGCTGATAATGTAATATCAAATCCTATTCTTAGTTTTAATTTCAGTGTGTTATATAGAGAATTACTGTTCTCAAGGTTTAGAAAAGCTTGAATAGTTTCATTCATGCTTTATTTGCTTAGGTAATTTTCAACTGTACCATATGGCGTATTTTTAAAAATTTGTGTGAAGTATTTCTAACAGTAGGCAAATATGTGCCTAGTAACAGTTATTTTTTTAGTTGAAGTAGTTTTAGTGTAGAATTAATAGACCTTCTTTACACTCCAAATCAGAATTCAGTAATTTTTTACTGTTCAAAAACCACAACTATAAAGGTCCTTTTCTAAAAGGAAGAGGGCTTTATTAGTGCCTGCTGGTTTTAGACTAGTTGTAAAATATCAGATGGATGTTAATTGCACTTTACTCATTATAAATGGAAGTGTAGTATGTAGTGCTTCATGGCTAGGAAATAATATGTTTACCAATAATCAAGGAACGTGGAATGACAACTTGTACACAGAAACAAACACATCTAGCAGTGTGGAGTTTTTCACGTGACTGTTCAGCATTATTACTCCTTAGAGATCAAAATTTTCTTGACAAGCTGGTATTTATTGTATGTTCACAATTATTCTTACTTAATCCATTGCTTTGTGTTCCACTGCAGTACCAAGCAGTTCTGTTTTCAGTGTCATTGTTGATCTCTTTGCAGCATCTCAGTATTCAATAGAAATAGCTGGAATTTTCGTATTGTTTTTAATAAAGTTAAGTAATAAGGCATATATATAGTTCTGCTTTTAATTTGTTGATTGTAAGCATTATCATCTTTTGAAGTCCTTTAATACCAGTTTTTAAGAAGTCATGGGAGTAATACTGTAACTACTGACTGTGCTGTAAAGGCTGTTTTTGCACTGAATTATGACTCGCATTTAGTAACGAGTTCTAGGACTTAGGTTCTTTGTAGTGGGACTTTTTCTTTTTTTTTTTTGTTTAAGAGGTGATAGCAATGGATGTTTGCAGAGGTGCTGAGCAAAATAAATGAATTCTTAAATTTAAAGATTAAGAAAAAATAGAATTCGCTTGAAACTTAAAGGACTGAGCAAGGTTAATTCAGTCTGTCAAAATAACTGTTTTATCTACAAGGAGTATATCTTGACCAAACTTACATGACTACAAGGCACCACCCTTGTAGTCGTTTCTTCCTCTCAGTTAATGTTTACGATACCTTGACAAGGTAGTGTTACTGCCATAGTAAATGGCTTACTAATGATGCTTCAGACGTATTTACATGCTTGGATGTGTTTGAATGCTTTCAGTGTGTTGAATACTAAGGATCTCTTTTCTTTTTTTTTCTAGCAAGACCTCATGACTTCTTTGATGCACAAACACTGGATGCTATAAGACATCGAGCCATCTGCTTTAACCTCTCAGCACATATAGAAAGTTTAGGAAAAGGCCACAGTGTTGTATTTCATAGTACTGTAAGTATATATGTTATGCATTCTGTTTGTTTACCTGTGTGTCTGAAAAACCTAATACTTCAAAAAGATTTCTGTTTTCCTCTTACTGCTATGGGCATTTAACCAGAAAAAAGTAATTGTGGGTATTTTACGTTGTTTTGTCGTCCATTTCTGTTAATAAATTATCTTTTAAAAAGTAGTGCTAGTACTTATTCTAGCTCACAAATTGAATAGCTTGCAACATTTCCTGTCTAATACACTTGGGGAAATATCTAGCAGCAAGTATGAGGTGCAGAAAAATTTGGTTATATATTCTAGTCTAAGTGAGAATGTGCTGCAGATAGCATTTCCATAGTCCTGAATGAGAGTGCTGGTATGTTTTGAGGGTAATTGTATAGTTGAATATTTAAAGATGCTGATCTGAAATTGGTGCTTATTCCTTTTTTTTTTTTTTTTCTTATTTTATTTTATTTTTTTAATAAACTTACCAGCAAAATGTCAGTGAATTGCTAGGAGAAGGCAAATACCAGGTGGCCTTTAGTTCTATTTCTACATCTTATTTTGTTAATTTCACTTGTTCTTGGATAGGATAAACATCAGTATTAATTTAGAAAAGTTCAAAACATGGAAGAAGTACTGAATTAGGGTATAGGGATCAGAGGTTCTAAAAGCTATATAACCTCTAGTTTCTTAACCAGACTGGGAGAGTAGAGACTCAGCTGAAGAAAAGGATTAAGAGATGAAACAAAATGAGGGGGAGTGCTTTGTAAATTGGTAGACTAGTGCAAGATGAACTGCAGTCCAAGAAAGGAATGTTGACTACTGTGTCTTTAGCTATGGCTTAACTTTAACATGATTCTAGCCACTGGGTTGTCAATCCCTTTCCATAAAGGAAAAATGATTTTATATGCTTGAAACTTACTTCAGCCTGTTCTACAAGAGTGATGATTGTTATGAATGTCTGTGGCCTGTATTAGAAATTTTTCCCAAGTGATTACTCCTGAACTTTATGTGCATTGAGCACCAGCTGCAAGTGGGTAATTGCAGCTGGCTTAGCTGTTACTCTCTTTACGTCTCATTCTAGTTTTCATGGCCAACATGGATTTTACAGTGCTGTGAGAAAAGGGGATTCTCTTCCAATTCGCAACATGCTTTAATCTGGAAGGTTATCCAGACAGACTACTTGGTTGTGGAAGCTCAGCTTTGTCTATTGGAATTACTCATAAGGAGACATAAGAGACATAAGGTGGAACGTGCTCTGAAACTGCTCTGAATTAACTTGGAGGAAGTGGTGAAAATCCTTTCAGCTTATCTGTGCGTGCATCACTTAAGATGGTAGGGGGTTGATGAGATATGAAATTGCTTAGACCTCAGCTGTGGGAGAGGTTGTACCAGTGGGAGAACTGTTTTAAGATTCCAGCCCTAAACTGCACTTTCCTACACTGTTTTAGCATGCTGCTACAGTTGTGTGGGATTGTGTGCTGGACATCAGCTGTAGCAGTGAGACTCAGCCTAAAATCTACTTTAAAAAGAAAAGGTAGAATAGAAGCAGTCTTGTGGATATACGCTATTATACTGAGCTAATGGTCACCTCAGATGCAAGCACATTTTGCATAACTTAAAAGCTTTAGGACATTGAATTTGAATGGTGACTGGCTAAATATGTAATACGGTTTGTGTGGTCCACCTTCAGATGAAGAAAAAAATGTCTATCAGGGGCATTAATTTGAAAAGTGAAAAATATTAAGATAATATTGTCTTGTTGTCTGAAAACTGACATAAATGATGTAGGTTTGGGGTTTTTTTTATACAGCATAAAAATAATGTCAGCACAAATGGGTATTTTATAGGATGGTTATCCTAGTGAAAAATCAGTGAAGAACCTTTCACCACCTATGAAAAGTGATTCCTTTTATATATATTTATTTCTTTTTCAAGCTTTTCTTTATAGATACAGAAAGCTGTAGAATGCAGTCATCAATAAAGCCTTTTCGAAGAAATGTTTTTACTATCCAGAATCATCTTCATTATGAGGTTTTTTATGCCTTTTTTTTGTTTCTGTGAATTGTCAGATGGAAAAATTCCATCATCTCCATTTAACCTAAAGAGCAGATATTACTCTGATTAAAAAATGCAGCTTATAGGTAACCCTGTTGTGTCCCCTGTCCCCGCCTCCTCTGTCCCCTGCTTTTTGAAATGCTAGAATTAATTCTCTTTATTTGAATGTTAAACCGTTTTTCACTGGTTTTAGCTGGTTTTGATATTTCAGTTCATCGATCATATGTATGGATACTAGTTACATGTGATTTGAAATTTTAAAACTTTGAAACACAGTAAATGACTAAAGTAAGATGCATACCGGTTTACTGGGTGAAGTTTTTTCTTTTTCCAGAAGAGGTCAGCAGAACTCCATTTCTGATTTGAGGCAGCTTTCATGCAATTACAGAGCTAACTCAAATTATATTTTCTTTTTGTTTCTGGGACAGTGCATGAAATTTAGATAATACGGTAAAAGTTTTTCAAATAAAGATGTATTTCAACATGCATCTGCTGACTGAATTCTAGTTTTAAATGAAAAACTTAAATGGATTTAAGTTCTTTACAACACAGTTTTAAGTCTTTAGAGCATCATTATTGTAGACATGCTGGATTTTTCCCATTTCAGTTGTAACTTTTGCAGACTTGACTGTAAGGCTCTGGTTACTAGTGTCAAAATAGCAAATAAGTTTTCAATTGCTTTTTTTGCAAAACGTTTGCAATTTTGCATTTGTCTGCATCATGGCAGTGTTTCTAACTCTAGCCTGCTTAGGATATGGTAAAATTTTCATAGGAGTAATTGTAATAAAAGTGGATACTTTTTATACCTTTCATAAGAACTATGATATTCAGATTATGCAGAGTTGATGGAGAATTGGTTTATGCAGACTGTGGACTTCAGCATTTACGTGCTACATTCTAGTTTAGCTTTTTTCATAAAGATAGTTGCCACTCTTCTGTATTTCTGGGTTTTAAAAGTTCTTAGTAAACCTTTTGGAGTCTACAGTATCTCCAGTGGCTGTGTATGGAATCTTTCAAAGATTTAGTAAGAATTTTATGCTCTGGACTGGCAGGGCTTGCTCGGGATCCTAGAAGCACGGCAGCAGCTTCTCTGACTGTTGGCACAGGGAGGGAGGGAAGGAAGGAGGGAGCTTCGTAGGCTCTGATGCCCTAGTGTCCCATGGGATGAGGAGGTGCCAGCCTGGTCTAGATGTTCCTCCATGTCTCCCTTGTAACTTTCACCATCAGCATGTGCTACAGCAACACTGGCTCTTTGCTGGTGCTGGTGGCACAGTATGTGCCCTGTGCTGCACAGGTGCAGGGTCACCCTGTGTGCTCTGAGAGCAAGATCCCATTTGGATCATGGCTGAGATGGCAGCAGTTGAGTGCTGTGCTCAGAGGTGCAGCAGAGGGGAGAACTGGTGTTTGAACAAGATAGGAAAATCTGTATGAAGTATTGCGACATGTGCTAAAGGAGAAGCTAAGGGTAAATCAGAGGAGGAAGCAAGTGGCTTTTCCCTGTTTTTCTGGTTACTGGAAATTTTTGGGGTACCTTTTGAATTCTGGTGTTAAAGAATAAATTTGTGTCTGAATGAACAGATTTCTTTTTTATACTTCCTGTGTGTGTATTTTTATCTTTATCCTGGCTAAAGATGGGAGTTTAGCTTCAGGGTCCTGCACCTAAATACTTTATTCTCTGTGAGAGTGTTTTATGTGCTGGTCTACCCTGAGCTACGATGAGAAACTACGAGAAGGGAGTTCTCACTTCTTGTGTGGGACTTTAGCAGTGGAGTATATATGTTCTGCTTAAACTCTTACCAGTCGTCGACAGGTCTTTGACATTCATTTTATTTGTCATTCATATAACAATAGTAGTAAGTGTACTCTCTGCAGTGTTAAGGGTCCCTGTTACGTAAGCATTAAGTAGGCTCTGTAAGCCTGTGAGTTTTTCCAAGTAGCCTTTGCCATTACCTCATTTCAGTGCTTGGTTTAGGTATTGAAAAGGAGTGAGTAAAGGTTAGCTAGGAAGTTACACACTATGTCCTGATGTCAAAGCATTTGTGAGAGAAGATTTTATTCTTATTCTATGCTATAATTAAACTATAATCTGCATCAATTTCTCACATCTTCTATAGATGTGTCATGGAACAACATGAGTGTCTTCGTAGAGGAATGTGTATTCTTCAAAGCTTTTGGAGTAGCTGCTTAAAAATTTGAACTATTTTAAAAGAAAGAAGGCAACTTAGAGGATGCATTTCACACCCCCCTACCACTCCCTGGAACTACTCAGTAGACAAATGTTAAACAAAATATTAAACCTTGCCAAGGATAGCTTGAGTACTGATAGTTATATTCTACCTATATAGAGAGTAATACAACTTCAAAAGAGTAAACCAGTTTGCCTCTTATAAATACCCAGTTGAACATGAAGAATAGGTTTTGAGCAAAAAAAGTCTGCAAATTTGGTTCTAATTATGATTCATGTGATTATTATCAGGTAATAGCTAAAAGAAAAGAAGATTCTGGAAAAATAAAACTATTGCTTCATTGGACACCAGAGGACATGTGAGTATATTGCTAATAATACAATATAGCATTTTAATGGGGAAGGATTTACAGTGGAGTAAATGAACTGTCACTAAATTATGTTACGCCTTTGAATAGTTGACGTTCACGTTTTAAAAAATGCTTTTTAAAAAAGTCATTCATTATTAAAAACTAAGCAATGCTTTAATTGATTTTTTTTACTTCAGCTTTCAAGTCTTAAGTCTCTCAGTTCGGGTAAAGTTGAAGCTGTATTCTTAATGCATTTTGTTGCTATGGGTATTAATAACAAAGTCCTCTGATTATTGAATGGGAAGCTCAGGTTGGTTTTGCCAGCTATATACATAAGGAAATTTATCACTGAAACAGCTTTGTTTTACCCACTGATTCATCATGATCCTAAAATACTTCTAGGTACTGAAAAATGTACAATCATCAGTGTAACAGCAGAATTGCAAGAATCTTTTGCCTAGGTGCCACAATTTAACACTAAAATAACCAGAGTTGGCCCTTGAAGGTATTCATCTTGTATTGCTGCTTCTTTGGATTAGCCCACTGAAGCTCAAAGTACTCTTTCAGCATGTTTGGCTGCTTTTTTTTCTCCTCTTGTGCTTTCAAAGTTCTACCTTGCTCCAAATGAATATCCTCACATGTAATGCAGGACAGAAGTACTTCCCGCACATAGGCTTGGGACAGATGAAGTAGTTAAGTGTAGTTTAGAAATATTTTATCTACTTCTTTGAAATAGGCAAGACCTTATCTCTTTCTTCTGACACTTGTAGAACAAGGGGATCTTTCAGATTCAGTTCTGCTTTTTTCCTAATATAGATTCACATGAGGTTTTTGCTCCTGCAGTTCTAGATAGGTGTGCATTGCTTTCTGCATTGGAGAAGGCAAGTTGTTCGGTAATGTCAGGTCAAAGGAATAATGTGTTTTAATTGCTATTTCTTGCATCTCTGTTGGGTTAGGTAGAGGGTGTATTTCCTGCACTGAATGTTATAGCTTTGAATTTTTGAGTATTTAGTAAATTCAATTTCATCTTTATTATTACAGCTAAGAACAGCAAATGCAAGATTATCATGGCTCATGTCATCCATTTGTTTTGCACAGTGAATGTACTCACACTTTAGGGAAGTTGAATGCAGTAATGATGATTACTTTCCATTGTGCTGAGCTGTTCATCAGCCTTTCAGAGAGAGCTAGTAATAATAATTTAACTTTTTCTATACTGAGTCATCTTGACAAACTGTTAATCTGCTCCAGGTTATCCGTACATTAAGTGTTTTCCACAGAAAATTAAATTCTGGTCTATAAATACGGTAAATACCCGTTTCCTGTACAAGAGGGAAATAATTTTTTATATTTTCTTTCCTTTTTGAAGCAGTAATTTATTCTTTGTGCCAGTACTTCTTAGCTTACTGAGTTGTTTTCTTTATGTGTATTTCAAATAGTCTTTTGATGTAAAAAGTTTTCTTATTTGTTGTTTGTATTATTTTGCATCTTCAGCATATAGCTTCTACTAAAAATGTCTTCTAAATGTTGCTTGTCAAAAAACTGATTTTGGCTTTATTTAAAAAAAAAAAAATCTTATGTTTTTTCACCTTTCATGATCCATGTTAAACCTTAGTAGATATATGACTTGCCTTCAGGGTGGTGTTGTGGGTGTTGCATCTGTCCTGTATTGTGTGCATGTTGTTCCCCCTTCACCACCTCTTTTTTTGTCTTCCACCTTCATCTGAAAATTGGAAAGTATCACTGGAGAAACTGCTTTTCCTACTGCGATAAAAGAGCTCTCATTTAATTTTTGGGATGGCTTACCCAAAGAATTGAATTTGAGTTACAGCTAACTTTTATTGATGAAAAATAGAGACTCAGTTTAATAATTTGCAAAAGTCTGTAAAATTGCATGTAGCTTTGGTCAGAGAAAAAATTTTTGTGTAGTCTTAAATGTTGGGTTTCTTAATTTGAAACTTTTTTCAAAATGTTAGAAAATGTTAGAATTCTTAATTACAAACTTAAACTTTCTCCCCTATGCGAAATTAATTTAAAAAAGTGGAAGCAAAATGGATCACTTGTTTGTTCTGCACAGCCTTGGTAAATGCTAACTTGCAGAAGGAGGCAGGAAAGCAGGTTTTGAGTAAGATGCTGATGACCTATGCAAGCTGAGTGTCTCTTAACAGTGTGTTAACTGAAAACCTCAGCGGGGCCAATGTGCTTTCAGTAAAAGAAGCAATAATGTAGTAAGCCACTCTGAAGTGGGCATGTTTGGTTTCAAAGAATTAAAGTACTAATCATAGATCAACGGTATATGTTATCCACAGCCCTCTTTTCCCCAAGTTTCACTGCAAGTCGCACTGAAGCAACAATTCCCTTTAATGTGTAAAGACCAACTTTTATTCCATCTCTCAATAAGAACTGTTGCAGAGCCAAACTGTTTTGTGGTGATTGTGTAGATTTCCTTAGAAGATAATAAAAAAATTAACTTCAGCAAAGTTGGAACATTTTGACATTGAAAGCTTTGAACTTGGAACAGGCACATTAGTCTAACTCGAAGCTTGGTGCTTGCAGTATGTTCTGGCTTTTACTTTCCTTTTTTTGACAGCATCAAAGAATTTTATGCCTGGTAAAATGAAGTATTTTCAAATATGTTTTCTTTTTCTTCTTGCTACCCATTTTCACATTAAATTGTTAAAATGGAAAACGTAGTGCTATTGTCATGCTACACTTGGCTTAGCATTCTTCTGGAATAATCTAAATTCTGTTTAGTGTATTTTTCACACTGAGAGTTTGAAAAAATTTGAAGTATAATGTGTAGAGATTGGCTGTCTTTTCCTCACTCCAGTGAAGATGTTTTTTAAACAGTGGTATGTAAAGATTGCTTTAAAAAACTTCATATGTGCTAGTTTACCACATAGCTTTATGGTAAGAAAAACGGTTGATCTTTTTTGAATATTTTTATTTTATTTATTTATTCATAGTCTGCCTGATGTGTGGGTAAATGAAAGTGAGCGACATCAGTTAAAAACTAAAGTAGTTCATTTATCAAAACTACCAAAAGATACTGCCTTGCTTCTGGACCCAAACATATACAGGTAATGTCCTAATTTTGAAACTTTCTTAACTCAAATATAGTCTTAAGACTCACTTAACTTTTTGACGTTGGACAATCAGGATTGCTAATGCATTATACACCAGACCAGGGAGCCTCAATCCTGTCAGCGTCCAGGAGTTAAGTTCTGAGGTCTTAAGTTGTTTCAGAATTTCTTAACTACTTGAACTGAACTCTAGTTACTGAGAAATGGGGAATGTGTGTATTTACCAAGTGTATTTTACTTTTTTGTGCTTGGTGTACAGAAATTCTAGTAAAGGAGGTACACACAGTGGAATCCTGAAAGATCACTTCTGTTAAGATCACATACTGGTTTGTATGCCAATTTTTTTAAAGTCCAAATTTACCTTTACATATTTTATATTCAACTGTAATACATGCAGTATTACCTTGAAATCTGTACTTGTATACAAGTACTGTTATTTTTTTAATACAAGATTCTTCAGAGGGGGACAGAAGGGGACAGTACATGTTACTTGCCTTTAAGCCATATTCACATTTGTATTTTTAGGACTTCAGATTGGCTTCTAATCCATCTTGTTTCTAATAATTTCCTGAGTTCCCTCCCCCCTCTTTATTAGTGTGCTCACATAATTGTCAGTACCCACACTTCTGTGTGTGTACAGTTTTTAAAGGTAATCTGAAATGCTTAATTCACTCTTAAGTTTTTGAATGCCCAGAAGCGTGTGTTTATGGGCTTATGCTAAAAATTAATGAAATAAATTTAGGACAGAAGTTTTTTCTGCCATAACAGAAGTTCAGTGTTCCTGTATTTCTTCCTTAACATCCAGTGACTTAGTGTCTAAAGGAGTAACTAGAACACTAATCTGAGGTCTTGATATGTAATAAGCCTTTCAGTTCACCTTTAATATGAAATGTACTTCACTAATCAAACTAATGAAAACCTGGTTTACAATTTCAAATAATCATACTATTTCTGCTTTCTTTGTAAGTGTAAGTATTTAAAATACTTACTTTAGTATATTAATTACTGATGTTAACAGTAAATCATTAAAATGTTATGAAGGAATTGGATTGTGTGTTTTAAAACTGCTTAAAACAGTGACTGTTTTGTAATTCAGTTTAGGTGTTAATCATGTTGATATTGATCACCTTTGCAGGCTTGATAGATTAGTTTGATATGGAAAGGAGAAAATAATCCTTTAAAATAAAAGTATAATGATCCGTGGGATTAATTCCTTGGAGAAAAATAAGCCACGCTTTCTACCTCTCCCAAATAAAAGTAAGGTCCCTTCACATAATGTTGTACTAGATTTTTAGCAGCACAGATCAGAGAGTAGTTAAGAAGAGCTTTGGGACCAACTGTGGTAGATCAGAGAAATAAAAGGAGACCAAAACTTTACAAGGGAAAAAAAATGATTAAAGAAATTCAGTGACAGCTATTAATTTTGTGCTAAAATAATGACTTCAGTAGAAAGTTTGAAATAATAATCTGAAATGTACGCTAATATGGGATCATCTAAAATGTCTTTCAGTTTTAATCAATTTAAATGAAAGTACGTTTTATATAGTTGTGATTTCATAGTATACTCTAGCTGACTCAAATTTGCTTCTCAGGGTTCTTATGTAAAACCGTACTGTCTTCTTTTACAGAACAATGCCCCAGAAGAGGTTGAAGAGGTAAAAACCAAGGAAGTGGGGACAGCTGCAGTCTTAGTCACTGACAATGGATTTAGAAGTAAAGTTGCACATTAGTCAAATCCCATCCTTTTTTTTTTTTTTTTTTTTTTTTGTCTTAGATGAATATTTATGCTTAGTGTAAACATTCTGTGAATGAAGTTGATGCTTCCGTGGAATATATTAATATATTACTGTATATCCACATTTTCATGGAATGGTACAGTGGGAGACTGAGCAAACACTCTTCTGGCAACTTAGTGGAACAACTAAAAGGCTTTGCATGCTTGCTTCTTTAAGCTGCTTTTTTCTTTAGTGAATACAGTAGTATATATTTGATGAAAAGAAAAAGTAACCATCACCATTTACTCACAATTTGCAGGAGAACTGTTAACAAGCTATTAGGCTTCTTGTCAATGTTAACTAAATACAACACATGCCAGATAATAGTACGGCTACCAAGGGATTATCCTGTCGCCCTTTTGAGTATGGTGGATAGTAATCATTCGTCATTTGTAATCTCGTGTCCTTTTGCAGATCCCTAAAATATGTTGGATTATAATGTTTGAACGAATGTTGATGGAATGCTTGTCTTTTCCAATCAACTATGAATACATATAGTATGGTTTAAAGATGTTGAGAGTGTTGCAGTATGTCTGACCCCCTCTTCAGGAGTAGTGTAGTATGTTTATGAGATCTGCTTTTATGTGATCCGTATCAATGGTGGGGTTTTTAAAAACCTCTACGTAAGCAGTTAGTGTTATTGGTGTTTTATTTTACTTTTTTGACCTGCTAGGATCCCCATTCACTTGTAAAGTATACTTTTTTTATTTGGCCTAATGTTTTCTAGATGTAAAGAAAATGGTATTTTTAAAAAAATCTAGAAATTCAATCCTTTATGCACCAAAGTTGGCTTTGAAAAGGAAAGTAAAATCATTTTCTTGCTTAATAAGCAAGAAGCCATGGATTTTTTTTAACTGACAAATAGAGATGCGTCTAACCTGTTAGTCTTTGTATGGAGACAAAAATGTTGCATATAGATAATAGGACATTGCTTGTAAATATTTCAGCAGATTTGTAATATATTTTTATATTATGAAATGTACTGTAGATGTTTTTCTAGAGGCATGAAAGTTAAAATGTATATATTATGGTAGAAATAATATTGAAGGATATTGTAATTCACTAGTGCTGCCAGAAGAATTGTTTAAAAAAAGCACCTTCCTTAACAATAAAAAAAACCTTTTACATACCTAAGGGACTATATACTACTGTTAATATCTGTTGTAAGAACAAAAATACATTGAACATCCTTCCCAGAAATCTTAGAGGGATGAATAGTACCCATAATTAATTCATGGCGCTCCTTTCTAATAGTGAACATGAAATTAGTTTTTTCCTTACTATTGGAAGGAACTAATATGTAAAATTTGTATGGATATATGCAGTCAAACTGCAGAGTTAGTCCTCCTTATTGGGGAGGAATTTACTACAGTGAAACTAATAACCAGCAGTTTTTACACTAAATTTTTATTAAATAGAATAAAACTTAAAGTAACCCTTTGGTTGCAGGAGTGAGCATATCTTAATATAATACAGATGCATTCTGCATTGGTACTGACACGAGAGTCTTGCTTAGCTCCAATGGGTTAAAAATGTTACTTATATACACAAAAAAAAATCTTATCAAACAAAATGAAGTGCAGATTAAAAGCACCACTAATATAAGATGTTCTGGAATGGTTGTTTAATAAGGGTATTATTCATAAAATCTGTAGTGATGTGACTTTATTTTTAAAAAAAAAATGCAGTGTTTTGGTTTATATTTTTTTGCTTGAGCACTTCACCTACTGCTTTTTCTGTACCTTTAAAGTAATCCATAATCTTTGTTTCTTTTTTGGATTTGTTATAAAATTGCCAAATAGAAGTGTTTCAGATATAGTTTGTATTTGTATTTTTTTAATTTTATTGCTTCATGAGTTTCTTGTAAGTCATTTATAATTGACAGATGATTGTAGACCTTGCCTGGGTATTTTTTCTAATAAAACAAAGCAAACAAACCTCATTAGCTTCAAAATTGTAAGATTTTGATGAAGTTTTCAAGGGTAAATATTAAAATGTCATTCTTTCCTGTCAGTGGTAACACACATACCTTTACAAAATGGGGAATTCATGGATTCAGGTCATGTTTTGTTCATGTAAACTGTGACTTTCTTTCCTTGGGTTTGAGAAAGAAAAGTATTACCTGATATTCTCATGATACAGCTTCTGCCTTGGAAGGAAAAATAAGTTTAAATTCAAAATGTTTGTGAACAAATGAATACATTGGAATTAATTAAACTTTCCATAATAGTCAAAAAGGTAAGTGGACTTTTCGCTGTTTTTTACCTTAAAGTTATCAAAGTGAATTGCTAAAAGGCTTTATGCTTGATAGTTTTTTTAATTCTACAGATTATGTAATTACTTGTGGAGTTTTGTGTCAAATGACAGTAATGTCTCTCTAAAGCTCTGCTTCAGTTTTTGTGTGCATCCCCAAATGAATTTCAGTTTTATTGGATTACAAGATACATGGAACTGACACAGCAAAAATCTTACTGCTACTCTTGAAAAGTCTTAATGAAATGATTGGCCCCTCCTCTATTGAGTAGCTCCATGTGCTTTGCTTCAGGATGTAACATACAGAGGTTTCCTCCTGTCCTAAGAACGTTTTTTTTAATAGATTTCCCAAATTACTACAGAATGCATTCCCTTGCATTTGGAGTGTTTATTTTCATTGTAGAGAAATGTCATCAAGAAAACTTGTCATTATTTTACTCTTTGCTGTAATCTCTTTTCAGACTGCTTTAATGAGGAACTGTGTAAATATCCTAAATTTATACTTTTTTGCTTAAAGGTTCTGTATTATCTTTAACACATTACAGAAGGTAGGCAAAAGAAAATTGCTAATTATAAAGCGAAAAGTCAAATTGTTGCAAAATACACTGGAGCGTGTACTCCACGAGGAGAGGCCAAGGGAGCTGCACAAGTTCAGCCTGGAAAAGAAAAGAAAAGGCTTTGGGGAATCTAACAGCAGCCTTCCAGTACCTAAGAAGTTATAAGAAGGTGGAGCCAAGCTCATTTAAAACTGCACAGCAGAATGATGAGAGTCAGTGATCATAAATTGCAATGGCAGATTTGTTTCATTGTGAGGATAGTCAAGAGTCGGAACAGATTACTCCCAGAGATGCCAGAAATCTGTCCTTGACAATTTTCAGGATCCAGACAAAGCCCTGAGCAACCTGGTCTAGGTGCAGTGTTGTTAGTGTTGCACTGAGCAGAAGGTTGGACCAGATGCTCCCTTGGAGGTCCCTTCCAACATGAATAGTTCTATGTTTTTGTCACTCGGAACTAAGTAGGTTTTGTCTTCCAGCCCACGTGCTCATGAAGACATCAGCTATGTTTAGATCATGTTAGCAATCTATGGTCATAGGTCATGACTAGAGTTGGAGCTGTTTGAATTGAAAATTGGTCAGCTCTGGCTGGATTTTGGGCTTTAATCTATGTTTGTTTTGGCCTGCTGTGTGCTTGAACCATACTGGTGTGTTAGCTTAAAGTAGATGCTGATGCTTGAGGACATGGGTCACAAAAGGGCGTGGGATGGAATGTTTACTCCTTTGCTGTCAGGAAGGAGTAAACAGAAATCTCAAGTGCGTTTGTGGGTGTCTTGGGTTATCTTACTTCTGGGACACCTTTTAAAGGAAGTACCAAATCAAGCTTTTTGAAAATCTCACTTTTCAGGAGTTGCGGTGCACCCAAATATCTGTGCCCAAAATCACCAGTCCTTTAGGAATATGTTGGCTTGAGTTTGACAGTTTTCTAAAGCTGAATAACAGGACTTCTGAGTGAGGAGTACTGTTTCAGGGATGAAGAACATTCCTTTTGCTGAAGTGAACAGAAATTCACGTCACAGCATTTGGGCGTAGCATATAGCTGATTATTTGATATTAATCTCATTCTATCTACTAAAGCACTTTAATAGAAGGAGCAGAAACACCTCAGTTCTGATACTTCTATTGAATATAAGTTTCTCTGAAGTTACTGTGATTTTTCAGATTTTCGCCAAATTGCATAACATTCAACAGTATATTTTTCTTGAGTTCTATATTAGTTATATCAGTAGTTTCCAATTTAAATTCCATATTAAATCTGGACTAACTTCATTTGGGAACAAATAGGTTAATTATGTTTAAATCTGCATAATTTTAAATTATAGGCATTTAAGCAGTTGGTTTCTGTTCCTTTCAGCTTTTCAGGGCAGCATGCAAATTGGTTATTGTAGCAAACCAGTCTTACTTAATACTTCAGTGTGAAATTGATAATGTATTTTCACTTAATGCTTTCTTGCCTTGGCATTTAAACTTGCATATGAATTTTTCTTGTCATATTAATGTATGAGAAATACAACAGAAAAAAGAAATCTCATCAGGAAAGTTGGCTTTCAAAAAAGCAGCTGAATCTATGGCTTCTTTCAGTAATTTTCTATAAATTGTTAAGGAGGCATTCTGTGAATGGCTTCTATATGCACATGGCTGTGAAAGAAAATAAACAGTTTGATCCCTAAACCACGATATTCTAAACAAAACATTCCAGTGGCAGAAGATGGTCTTAACATCACAAGGATTTTTTTAGTCAAGTAAAAGTGCCTTTAGATCTGTTATCCTGGTGTTTACTTATTCCAAGCAAAGAATGCTCTTTAGTAAACGATGTCACTTCAACATTTAGTAACAATTTCTAAATTACATAATTTTGGGGGAGAAAGCCCCACCTGTACTACTGTTTTAAGCAATCTGATGGAAAAAATATTTTAAAATCAAGAATGTCCCTTTGTTTAGTGCCTTTTCACTTATTTTCTAAAATTCTTTGCTCTCGCAATTATATAAACCAAATTGAGACGAAAAGAATGAATATTCATATTAATACAGCTGTAGTCTCCTAATGCGTTCAATGAGAAGACTGAGGTATAAATACTAGAGGTGAATCTCTCAGTGTATTTATGAGTATGATAGTGCTGAAGAGCTTCACTACTGTAATCTCTATTACAGTATTTTTTCTAACATAAAATGACCAACACTAAAACCTCATACTCCTGGAAGATGAAGATTTTTTTTTTTTCCCCAACCATCTATTCTGTATGTTTCTGTGAATATAGCTGACAAACTACAAGAAACAAATATATTTAGATACACTGTCAAATCTCAGGTTATCTCCTGGAGGGATGAAAAACCTCAGAGATTAATGTTTTGCGTCTAAAGCAGAACACTGCTTCCAGGAGACAGGAGCTGTGAATTTACTCGTTTCAGGTAAGAAACTGGTGATGAGCATAGACCAGTGTTGCAACCTGTATTTTTGGATTTTGACTGGATGGCAATACTGAGAATTTGTTTTTCTGCTGTATTTATTACAGCAGTGAAAAATTCTCCCCAGACTATATATGTCCACATGTCTTCAATTCTCATACTACAGTATACAGTACTCTGTACAATAATCTGTATGTATGTTTGGGTTTGATGCAGCTTTATCA